TTGCAACAGGCAGCAGAAAGCATCCACATCATCTGGTCTCACACGGGTCGCCGCTCACGCTGCATTCACCAACGACGTGGCAGCCCTGACGGTTCACAGGCACCACAGGCCATGTGCCTTACACCAGGCCTCGTCTGACACGCCCTTCCTGTCCGTCATAGGGCCTCTGATCAGCGAGGACCACAGGCACGCCTTCCACGGGCCGGTTCTCTGCGCTGACCGGGCACCACAGGCACCATAGATGATCCTTTTCTGCGACTCTTTCCCACGAGCGTTTCATTCATGCAATACTTCTCCCACACTGTGCCTTCCTCAACACGCACGCACCAAGTCACTTCCTACCATGAGCGCGCCCCAACCAACGTCCTCACCACAATACACACTACATTTCTTTGAGACTTCTGTTCACGTTCAACGACGCTTTACTCGATATGCTGACTCGAGAGTTCCCACACACTCAGACCAATGCAGATCATCAAGGGGTGCAACGCCACGGTAACTGTCTAAGATCATGTTGTCACGAATGCATATCACATGGCGCATGTCTAAGTTCTCAGGGGGATGCACAACAAGGAGCAACATCTGTCGCTGTCGCCCAAGCTTGAACACGGTACGACGAGGTCGGCGCCCACGCACAGCTGTCACCGTGTACGAGTTGGTACTGAGCCACTCCAGCGGGATGTTGAGTGACCAATTCCCTGGTGCTCTCTTCGGCTTGCCCAAGCCAGCGAGCGACCAACCGTTCCGGCGGTACTGGCGACAATACCGCAGGCGGATTTTCTCAAACGAGGCAGGCGAAGCAACCACGCCCGAAAGCAGGTTGTTCACAGCATGCAATGCGCATCGAGTGCCTACTTGCTTCTGAACTAACCCATCACCTGCCCAGGACATCCCCACTGAGGATGGCCGCTTAACGGCGGTTTTCTTGAGATTGCTCATCTGCGATTGAGGTGAACTCGCACACACAGCAACTGTTCTGCGACGTTTCTTTGTCTTGGCCCACTTGAGCAATTTTCTCACGGATATGGTTTTCGGTTCAGTTTGCACACTTGTGGGTTTTGCCTTTGTACAATTTTTTGATTCGGATGAATTTTTTCGGATGAATTTTTTTTATTCTATTTCGATTCGATGCACAATTAACGATTTTGTGCCGCCAAACATTTGAATCGAGCATGTCACTGCAAGTCACCACAGGTCACTGATGGAGGACTTCACGGGTACTGCACACAGCAGCTCTTCACTGGAGGGACTCGACATCAGCAAGCACGCCACTGCGGGGGAGTGTTGACATCACTGTTCCAGTGTCAATGCTTGCTGAGTCAGCAAATTCTGCTGTAAACGTTTCTGTGCACGTGCGCCCAGAAACGGGCGTTTCTGGTTGTTTTGCCACGTGGCACTTCTCTCTCTCCTCCAGTTTTCTGTGTATGTGTGAGAGTGTCTCTCAGTTCATGTTCATTCATCCTACATCCTTGTTTGCTCCACAACTCAAGTAAACACACACAACTCTCTCTTGCCAAGACAATCTCCCACACAACACACAGCACACTCTGCACACACAGCACACACAGCACACACACACACACAAGTCTCCAACAACAGCACCACCACCATGAACTTACAACAGCAACCTCAAGGACCCGACTGGCCGCTTGGGCCGCTGGGCGCTCGCCCTTCAGGACATGGACTTCGACGTCGTTCACAAGCCAGGCA